AACGCCAGAGATGCCATCGAAGACTTCGAGCAAATCTCATTCATCACCAGACCGCCAGCGGAGTGGTGGGAAAACGAAGACGAATCCGATTCATGGTCCGAACATGAATCAGTAACAGAGTCGGAAACCGATCACCCATTGGTACAGGCAATCCAAGAATACCTGCTAAAACCAAACGCACCCTCTCTTGTAGGAGCTTACCTTCCAAAACCAAACTACGTTGCAGTCGGGACGACTGCCTTAACAGGGGGGTAATATTACGATTTTGCGCCTTATCTTATCTTATCGGTTCTATCGTAATCTCGCTATGCTAATTCTCCGGACTTGATCGCATTCACCATGCGGGTATTGTGTGTTTAACGCACCGTTGCAGACACTTGTAGTATATTTAGCACGACCCAAACTGTATTTAAGTAGCTTGACTGCAGGTCTTACACCTCAGTCTTGAACTAAAGTTTATTCACCCGATAACTTAGTCTGAACTCACTCTCGCTCAACTAAGCGATAGCTCCCTGCACGCAAACCTGCGGACAACATAAAGCGCCTGACCGAAGTGCGAGTCACGCTTAGTTGTTTGATCTTGTTTGTGTAATCGGTCGCTAACAAGAAGTAATGAGGCAGGTGAGGGCGGTTCTCACTAGGTCAGTGCGAACCGTGCTGACCATATTGGTTTTCCTGGAGTGGGAGGTGCTGTATGAGATTATGGCGGAAGACATGGTGCAGGACACCCAGTGGCTTCTCACTGAAGCAGGGGAGGATTACATCAATGCCAGACATGCGGGAGATGTATACCTGATGAGGAACATTCTCAAAGTGGACGCCTGGCATAGGGCCATGCTAGTTTGGAACCTATGTAATCCGGAGGATCCACGTCCCAGGTGTGCAGCCTATCGACAACCTGCACCGATGCCCTACCCGCTGGACACAATGAAATTTGCAGACGGAGGTGGAGGGCCAGACCAAGGAGATGACGGGTGGGCAGATGATGAGGGAGCTGGACCCTCTACCACTGACAAGGGGAAGGGATCCACGGTCCCACAGAAACCACCTGTAGGACCGCCACCCCCACTACCACTGAAGCCAGGGGGATACCCCTCTCTGGGACACAACCTGAGGCTTCGGTCGCTACCTCGACCCCCAAATCCACCAATACCCCCGACGCCTCCAATGGGTTCCCCACCTCCATGGCAATTGGCCCTGGGCACAGTCAATAACCCCTGGAATGACGTCAAACTGAAGTTGATTATGCAACCAGAATATTTCACCAGGGTATCGTCAGATATCACACATTACCTCCATCACTGTGAGCTCTACTTCCAGGTATTCCCCATGTATTACACTCTCAATACGGCCGGGCAAAATCCCTATCGGATTACTTTTGCCCAGTCCTATTTGCGGGGAGATGCACAGAAGTGGTGGAACCACCAATACTACCGATACCATGATGAGCACAGGCATTGGAGGTTGCTGTCATGGAATGAATTCACTGAGGATCTCATGATGAGATTCTGAGAAGTGGCGGAGATAGTGATCTGGAAGCAGGAATGGAAAAAGCTCTGACAAGCGGACTTTAAGTCGGCTGTGGAGTTCTTCACGAAGTTCAAAGAACTTGCCCACAAGTGCGAAGAATTTGGAGACAAAAAACAGATGTTCGAAGCCATTGAAGCCGCTGTATGACCAACAGTTTGCACCACGATCATGCACGGGGACAATGCTTGTCCCACCACGTATGCCGAGTGGAAGTGGCGAATCGAGAGGATCGATGCCAACTATCGATATGGCCTTGCCCAGCAGCAAGGAAGTAAGTCCTCCCCAAACCCTAGCAGTGGTTTGGGTCGAGGCAACCAAAATCAGTCCTCCGTGAAGGCAGGAGGTTCGGGAGGTTCTAGCGACAAGAAGGATGCCACCGGAGTGACGTACAGTGGAGCCAGGCAGCCAATGGAAATCGATAAGCTGTGGAGTGAGAAGCAATGCTTCAAGTGCAGAAATACCGGGTGGAGCCGGGACCATAAATGTCCAACGGACAAATCGAAATGGATCCCCGTCAAACTCCCCCCTCGCAAAAAGATCCCTGCTCAACAACTACGCCAATTACTCGTGGAAGCAGAGAAAGAGGAATTAGGAAAGGACATGAAGGTCGAGGAGGTCAAAGACAATAAGTTGTCAAAAGACGAGCCGGTGTCGAAATAAGCGATTTGACGACATCAGCAAAGGACTTAGTTTCATCTGGTGCATGCTCTCCTGCTAGTCAGGCTTATCATACATATGTAGGTACTCCGTACGAACAATATACAAATTTTTTCGCCACATTAACAGTAGAAGAAACTAAGGAAGAGGAATTGCAAAAAGCCAACAGCGTAGGAGGGGATTTCCGCCACTCCACACACTCTGCGTCCAGCAATGAACCCCTAGGGGCTGTCCAACCTTGGGAACCCTTGCCTGACAGTATGGGGAAAGTTCCAGAAGCAATGGAGAGGCCCTCATGTCAGAATCAGACTGGGCCCAGTCGCCCCCATCGGGAAGAAAGGTCAACAACCTCGACGGCAGTCCCTACCCCGATTGTGGCTGTCGCCAACGACGGAAAAGCAGCTGAAGCAAGGAACCAGAGGGACCACCCCCACTCAGTAGCCACACAAACGCATAATGCGGCAGCAAAAGGTGGGGACCCCGCTGGCGAGCCAACATGTGTGCGTCCGCGAAAGGTTACCCGGAGTACCACAGGGTTAGTTGAGGATAATCATGGATCGAATGTGGAGGTTATAACACTGAGCACAAGCACCCTTGGCCAGGGCTGAACGCAGGGCAGAGAGCCCTCCTCCACCCCCTCGTTGAACAGCGACCAAATGCCGCCTAAGGGCCCTTTTCGGCCTGGTGACCAAATGCTGCCACGAGGACAAGCATGCACAACATCCATTACAGTCGAAGAAGTCCCCGACGAAGAAGCACACCTACAATCTGATATTCCAATAACACCCCTGAAGGGGAAGTCTCCCATGACCCCCGAGCCCGAACTAGCCCCTGAGGCCAAGCGGGCTATACTCAATATGTACTACGAACCATTTGGAACGCTGAAGAGGCTCTGTGCGTGCCAAGCTAGAAATGCACTAGCGTATATAACACTAACACACCCACACTCACACTCACACACACACAAACCCTCAGTAGTTCGGGGGTGATGTGCAATACAAGCACACAATAGCAGTAGTATTGAAATAATCCTTGCACGTTACAATATAATATAGTGCGCTTAGCAATATAATAATCTTCTAAGTCCAAATGCTTTTGGAACAGGAGGTGAGCGACAGAATCGCTCAGCCTCAAGGCAAAAGTATTATTTCGCAAGCCCCCAAATGTTCTACAAGAACGTATAACCCTCAAAATACGTCGCACGCAACACACAAGTGTCCACAACGTTTCACAATACACTTAACACGACTTAAAGCCTTGCGCTCCAAGTAGAAAACACTTCAAAACCCGTTCGTAGATCCACAGGGTTCTAACCTATGCGATCCAGAGATACACAAACACAGAAAACACATCCACAAGCCACAGGGTTTGAACCTATGCCACTTGGGAATAAACCAAAAAAAACCCTCAGAGATTACTGACAAGCCAAAGGGTTCGAACCTCTGCCACTTGCAATAACTCGGAATTCACAAACAAGTTCCAAAAACACAAATGCACATTCAAGTTATCACAATACAATATTCTCTAAGTAGAGCGCAATCAATTACTGTACTTTACTTGAACGAATCAAGCGCGCTCGAGCAAGGCGTGCCTCGCGAGCTCTCAAAGTGTTCAAAATAATTCTAAGTTCAATAATACTCTCTCGCTCGAAGCTTCAAATAAAATCCTTTCATCGTACACTAAGCACGCTGCTTCGTAGTACAACTGCGGGGGTCTGAAAACTTGCTAACTACCTGTAACTACCACTCTTATATTTACCGTTAACTATATGAAATGTAAATACTGAAAATAGACAATGCTCCACCTCGGACTCCCTTCTCTTGCATGCCGCATCAGCCATAGTGATAGTAATCATTATTTTACTCAGCACTCCGTGTTGGCACGCGTGCTACTGCTGTTTTCTCCACTTGGCAAGGCCTAGCCTCGTCGTGCCATGTGGCGTGTGTCTTCTTATTGGCTCCGCAGATTTAATTACAGTGCCATGCAACTTATCTAGTGAGCGAGTTTTATTTTATTGGTTGCCATGCAACCACTTCTAGTTTAATATTTCATATGGGCAGCGGGTTTTATTTCTCTCTGGCCGAGAACTCCTTAGTGTATTCGGACTTGTTGATTCTTTGTTCAGGATGACGTTTCTTGGTGATTGCCGGATCGGCAGGGTTCGCGCATCATAGATCAATGTAGCGCGAAGCACCTTCAATATATTATCTTCAGTGAATTTAATTGAGTGATACACTGCAGAGGAGGGCACAGTGTGTGTGTATAAGCACTGAGACTGCACACTTAAATGACACAAGTGTGCCGTTCTAAGTCTAAGCCATGCGCTCTACTCATATTATTTTTATTATAGTGCTTTCTGCCTCAGTGTGTAGCGCTCTATGCCTTACATGCACTCTAATATTATTCACGGGGCACACACACGTTTGCATTCCTAGAATTTGCAAAATTACATGTGTGAACGCGTTGCACGCGTGTCATATCCCCCTCACTAAGCTTCGGACCTTCCATGGTCTGTGCAGGTAGGTTCCAGTAGGTTCCAGTAGGTCCCTGGTTACCGCAGCAGCTTCTTTTCATGTGGAAAGAAGTTCTCAGTCATTTGTTCCACATGGCTTCTCATGCTAGTGAGAACTCTGTATGTTCTTTCTTCTTTGTTATGTCATGTTGAACTTCTAGGAATATTTAAAGCGTTGAAGTCCGCTTTTCTCTCTTTCTTTCTTACCCTCACTGTCGCTCCACCTCTGTGCCATATGCAGGGGTCGGTCTCTTATTTCTTTCTCTTTCGCTCATCCTTGCTGTCGTCGCCAACGTCCGTCATGGCTCCTGAGGATGCCCTCGCTGTTTCCTATGCTATTCCGCTCCAAAGCTTCTGTCAAAATTTGCGTGGTGCTCGTATGCTTGTCGGCTCGTACTTCGACAACCGGATGTTGGAAAAGTCAACCCCCTCTGAGCTCAGGGCGGCCGTAACAAGCGCGCATAAATATCTAGTGCACTCTAATATTTCTATTCTCATCTTTACACACTTAATTTATTTTCAGGTTGCGCACATGGAGACCCTGCATGCTTTCCGACTTCAAGATTCCCGCTACGGCCTCGCTTTGCGTTCCCAAATACTGCGAGTCGTCTCCAAAATTCCTGCGAGTCAGCGAGACTCCCGTTGGTGCATCTGGTCATTGTCGGAATGCGACCATAGTCGTAACACCGTGAGTTTCCTTCTATTCTATTGCCTGCCTCTTCCTCACTTTTCTCTTAGCTCATTCTCGACGAGTCCCTCTGTATCCCTGGTGACCCCGATTATTCGAAGAATGGCGAACACTCCGTGCCTGAGTACGACCTCTGGCCTTATCGTGTGGAAGACATCGTTGCGCTGCCAGTTCGTCATAGCGCTATGCCATCTCCTACTAAAAAGACTCAGCCTGCCGATGCAAGGTATTTTATTTTTCTGGTTATTCATTTAATTTTCTCTGGACTTAAGACTTCTTTGCCTAGTCTCGCAACGAGTAAAACCCCTCGTCCACAAATGATAACAAAACCGCAGCCACCCAGGCAACTCTGTGAGTATTTCTTAGCTCACTTTTACTTTCTCTTCCTCTTATCTATTCCCCTAGCTTTCGCTAACTACTGGCCAACTAAAAAGATGGACAAGGCTTCCAAGCCTACGCCGAAGCCTGCTTCTATGCTGGCATCTTCCGTTCCCATGCGCTTAGATAGTTTTCTCCTTGTACCCTTAGTTAGATTATTTTCTTTTCTAGACTGCACCGTTCACGCGCAAGCGAGCTCGTGATGAGCGTGAACGTGACAGCGTAAGTACCTTCCTGCCCTGCCCTGTCTATGTTTCCTGAGGCTCTCTTTCCTAGTCCCCAATTTTAAATACGCCACAGAAGGAGCAAGCCTCCACGTGAGTTTTTGTTCTTTCGCTATCCTCTATTTGCAGACTTAGTTTATTTTATTTTCTGCTAGTTTCCGCCATGTGGGTCCCCAGAAACCCGCGACACCTTCCAAGAAGTCTGTGGGTACCGCCAAGAAGCCTGTAATGCAAGGTAAGAATTTAATTCCTCTTGCCCATCTTACTCTTTCTAAGTTATTCTTTTTCTTTCTAGCCCCTCCGATTGCTGCGCTTGAGGATGAGGATATGGGGGGTGATGCTGCAGGAGAGGAGGAACAAGTGGTAGAGGAATTAGTAGAGGAGGAGGATGACCCTTCTCCTCCACCAGTGAAACACATACAAAGGCAGTTGCCTGACGTGGTACCCCCTCCCCGTGTGTATCATCCTCTAACTGGAGAGCCGTTAAACAGTCTCTCATTTATTTCACTTCCTACAGCACTTCGTACTCCCATTCTGCTTAATGCTTCCAAGAAACTCTCTGAGACGGCTAAGGATAAACAAAAGGCCACCGCACCTCCATCTCCTTCTCCAGTGCCTCAACCTAAAAAACGTGGCCGTGGTCATCCCTTGGGTTCCAAGAATAAGAAGGGTCGAGGTGCTTCAAGCACGCCTAAATCGAGTCGCGACCATCTCAACGCCTCAGTCGTTACTGGAAATGCGCGTGCTAAAGCTTCGTCCGTGGCTTTGTCCTACGAAGCTCCTTCTCCTGCCATGCAAGATGAAATTCCCGAAGAAGAAATGGAACCGGCGCCTGCGTATGAAGAGGAAGCAACCGTGCCAATGGAAACTCCAGTGCCCGAGACCGAAGGCGACGTCGTGCATGCACGACGATTCACTGGGGCAGAGACCGAGCCCATCGCGTCTGGGTCTGGCGCGCAAGAGGAAGAACTTTCATTGAGTGTCTGTTCCATCACGGTTGATAATACCGTGTATGCATGCGCCTTCCACCCATCGGTGGATCTCCAATTCCATGAGCCCTTGTCTCGTCAAGCACTCGAGTGTCTCAAGCTGTCAGTGCTGCCTCCTGCTCCGGAATCATTGTCTAAGTAATTTATTTCTTTTATTATTCTTATATTTTTCTGACCGGGCTATCTCTTAGACCTACTACCGAGACCAATACCCGTGGCTCTTGTGTCTTTCGTGCCCATTCAGATCTGGACCCGCACTTTCTTCGTGCACCAGATGTAAATTTTTATTTGCTCTTTAATATAATTTTATTTGTCTCATCTGCTTTTAATAGATCTTCTGGCCCTGCTTCAATTGCAGTTTCTCTGGCGTTCCTGAACTCTGCGAGTTCGTCGGAGAAGTCGGTGAAGAGGCCTGCACTAGGTGCAAGTCTAGCAGGCACGGAAAATGCTCCACGCGTCTCAATGCCACAGACTTCCATCGCGTGGCTACCCTTCTCGATCCACTCATCTTGAGTGGTGATCCTGGTACATCTCCTGTAATTTTATTCGTCTTTTTCCCTCTTCTAATTTATTTCTTTTAGCTATTCGTGAGCGTCTCGACCGTGTCACCATCCTTGATGCCGAAATCAGTACTTTTTACAACCTTGCTCACAGCCGTATGGCCGAGCACAACAAGGTTGTCCAGGAATTGGTGGACGGTCTGGATGCCATTGCCTCGCGCGAGGGTGGTACCGCTATCATCGACGGCTACACTGAGGTCTCCGACCTTATCCGTTCTTTCATCGTCGACGTTGGCAAAGATGCTTCTGAGTCTGGGTCCGAGGGTGATAATAAAGAAGTCTAAGGCTCTCTTGTAGTACTTAACCTTTTCTTGAACGCTCTAGTATACTTTCATCATACCGCGTCAACTGTTTTCTTGTACTTACATTTTCCTTTATCTATCTTAGCACTCAGGGTCTTTAGATGCAGCCAGCAGTAGCTACTTGTAGATACCGCACACATTATCTTTTGGGAGTTTAACTCCAAAACAAAATTATCATCTCCTTTCCTGTTGCTCTATTTTGTGTGATGCGCTCTCAGTCTTTATTTAATCGAACTTAGCGATTAATTCTATCACGTGTGTGGCACGTCATTGATGTGCCTGATTCATAGCTTCCTGATTTGTCTGTCCCTGTAGATCATCCACTCATTATTTCGCTTTCTCTTATCTTATTTATCTTCTTTTATTTCCTAACGCTCTGAGACCGATATTTCTGTATTCCTTGGACTTGTAGCTTGTTATTTTTGCTTCAGGAAATACGTCTTTTCTTCTGTCATGCTCGCTACATTATGACATATACTGCGGGTTTGCTTCCGTTCGAATTTGATTTTATATCTTTTTCGTTTCTAAAGTACTATATTGCTCTCTCTTTCTGAGTCTCAGAAAATCGCAAAATTTATGTACCTTTCCAGGTAATATAGTAATAGTAAATACCATAGGTATACTACTATATCCCCCCCACTAAAAAGAATTGACTGTCCTCAGTCATCAAATTCAAACAAATTCTATTTCATAAAGTCAAATAATTTCAACTTAGAGGATCGTGCGGAATAGGTTTACTATCCCTGTGGAATTTTCTAAGTCCAGACTTGACTTGTTTGAAAATTCTCTCAAGGCAACTAAATCTTTTGCTGCTGTTTGTGCCCCAAGTTGCGCTATAAAACGAGGCCAGTTTCTCTGTTGCTTTGTCACCCAACAGTGTCTTTTTCTCAATCGCTCTACCAGCAATCATCTCTCAACCAATATCTTTAACTTTTTCCACTATGATTCCTACTTTTATCGTCGTAAAGGCTGTCATCATGTCCCTTTGCAAGGACCCAGCCACTACTGCGAACGAGCATCTTGATCAGCTCCAGGAATATACTGTAAGTCGAGCCGCGTTATCTTTAATTTTTATTCATACTGACGCGTTATTTTAGTCTCATCTCGAGCACTACAAGGGCGAGCTTGCCAAGGACAAGGACCTCAAGGAGGCTGTCTTTCGCGCTCGTACCGCTGTAGAGAAGGAGTATCATACTAATGCTTCGAAGCAGCCTATCCACAAGGTCCTCAAGACCATTACTGGATGGGTTCAGTCCGAACGTTCTCAGTCTGGCGAGGGTGCTAACAATTCCTCTGCTGGGAATAATAGCATGCGTCATGACAATAAATCCGTATGTCTATTTCTTCCTCTTATAATTTATTCTTTTAACACTCAACATATTTTATTAGGTTTCTACCGTGCCTTGTGTCAAAGGCAAAGGTCGCTCTACCCGTCGCTCTCATCCTATGGTCGATACTGACTCCGAGGAAGAATATGAGGATAATGACAAGGTAGCCCCCCTCAATTCTGATTCCGATACCGAGTCAATTAAAGTATGCTTAGACTTCGCCTCTCTTACTTGATTATTTGACTCAGAGTCTCTTCAAGATGGTCATCGATGACGAGGTAGCCAAAGCTGCCAAGAACCTCAAGTTCTCGAAGGTTAAGGCTGGCGAGGCAGCTACAGGCGAGAAGCGCAAGGAACCCACCAAGGTAGGATATTTTCTCGTGCTCCAAGTAAAATATCCCCCCCACTAAAAGGTTCTGATGCTAGGAGCCTCCTGCCTGCTTCCACTGCGGTTTAAACACCCATTCTCTCTTGGACTGTCCTGAGAAAGGCATGGTAAGCTTTCCTTGCTTGCACGCTACTTTCTTTTTACTAACTCACTAAGTTATTCAGACAAATCCCTCCAAATCTGTCCACAAGGATGGTGCTCGAGTTAGTAAACGTGCTAAGCACTCCTTCCCATTACCCTCTGCTCGAGAGTATTACAATCGTGGTACTAAAGGAGTCGGAGCTCGACGCCCGGCCTCTGTTTTGGGACTTACTAGCACCAGTAAGTATTTATTCATATCTCTTGTTTTTAATTTTATTCTCTAATGCGTGACTCTTATTTCTAGCGTCCAGTGATAGCGGAAGTTTTCCCAGCAGCTCTGCTTTTCACGAGCTTTATAGGGGACCGTCCCTGGGCAGCTTCACGGTGGAGTCACCAGAGCATTTGGCTAGGATCGAGTCTGCCGTCATGGGCGACATCATCGTGCTACAGCATACAATTTACGCTGCAGAGAAACAATGCATGTTTCTCCTTGATGAACTGGATGGAATACAGGCTGCCCTTCATCCACAAGTTCCAGAGGCAGCCCCTGCTGGAGATACCACTCCTGTGGAGGCCGACGCTGGTCCCGTTCCTTCCACCTCGTCTAGCGTGGAGTCATCGTCTGCGCAATTCTAAACCTGTAGTTTTGGATGTCTACGTTATCCACCCGTCTTCTGGTCACCTCGTTTCGGTATATCATGGCTTACATTTCTCTTTTTCTTATCCCCTCTTCGATGCTGAGTACATATTGCCGCTCAAGCTTGATTATCTTCCGCTCTTAGGGAAGACAGTCGCGTGCCTGGTAGCAATGTTCCTAGATAAGTACCCATAGATCGTAGCCATTCTTTCGCTTCATACAGTAGCTTACTGTATATTCTGTCTTTACTCGAATTTAACACCCACGGAATGTGTTTCCGCTTCTATTTTAATTTCCTAGTCCTCATCTAAGTCTACTTTGTCCGATATCTTGGGGTTTTCGACTTCTTCAAACTCCTCTGTGAAATTGACTGGCCATCTTTCCTTAGGTTCTGGCGAGTCAACAATTCTTCGAAGCTCTTTGGAGCTTTTATTCATCCAATAAAGTACCTTATCATCCAAATCTATCGCGCGTCGAGCTAAATAGGGTATAACTCGAAAAGCAGCTATCTTAGATCCTATTAGCGCACCATCTAATTCTGCTAGGATATAATTACCAGCTGCAGAATGATCCACGACTACTAAAGGTCCTAGGTAGTGAGGCTTTAACTTTGTATTGAGTGCACTCTCTATCTGACTGTTTTGCATTAAAACTAAATCTCCTCGCTTGAAGTTATAAGATTTAATTTTATTGGCATGCATGGTCGCGTACTTTAGGGTTTCTTTCTTCTTAGTCTCATCCATAGTTTTGTGCATCTCAGCTACTTTGTCTGCATGCTTCTCGAGGGCTATAGCGCACAAGCCTCGGAGTTCCCAGTCTTCTAGGATATGGCCTGGATATTCAACGAGCCAAGTGGCTTCCAACACATCAAGAGGTAATATGGGATGCACGCCAGTTACAGCAAAGAAGGGTGAGCAACCCATCCTTTTTCTAACTGTAATTCTGTCGGCCCACATTACTAGCAGAAAGTAATAATGCCATTTCTTCTCATTTCCACTGCAAGCTTTATATAGACTTTGCTGCACGTCCCAGTGAGGTCGTTCTATTCTTCCATTTGCTTGCGAGTTGTATGGCGCAATTTGTATACCCTTTATTCCATATTTATGTTCCAGGTAATTTACCGCAGCTTTAAATTGCTTGCCATTATCTGTGACTATTAATGAGATACAGCCCCAGCGACAAATAATATCTTCAAATAGCCATTCCGCTATTGCTTGAGCTGACTCTTTCATTAAAGTCCTTCCCTCCATCCAACTAGTTAATGCGCAACACCCATGTACAATGTATCTATGCTTGTTCGACACCTCTGGCATGTGCATCGTGTCAGCATGTAACACTTGAAATATAGACGGCATAAAGCTCACTTTAGGTGGGGCTTTAATTATCATTTTCTGTCTCTGTTGGCATACTTCGCAAGTACTTACAAACCATGCAATATCTCTATCCATCTCAGGCCACCAAAAACGTTCTTTTATTAACATTTTCGTTGTGTATATGCCGCAGTGCCCAAGCTGGTCATGAGCTGACTTCATAATATACATACGCTTCTCAGGGTATATTACAAGCTTATATTCTGACTCTATGTCATGTCTATAAAGCTTCCCTTTTTGTACAATAAAATTCTTCACGTATCTTATGAAGTTCCTATATTGGTCGTCTGTAAAGCCCTCTAATTTCTCAGTTGGCGCGGCATGCCATTTTATTACTTGTGGTAATTGTCGATCTAACATGCACGCGTAACCACTTCTTCTTTCTTCATCATAATTTTCGACATCAACATATTCTGACGCGTCAGGTAATAGTGGTCCCGTGTTATGAAATGTCGAATAGACTTCTCCTCGATCTACAGCTTCTTGTACTATCTTATCTTCGTGAAAATCATGTATCGCTCTATCAATAGTAACATAGCCATGTCTCGTATCGATTCTTTCTTTGAAGTCTGCAATATTTTCAACGTCTTCTTCTGTTTCATTCACAAAGTCCCAAGAATCCTCGTCTTGCGCTTCATATTCTTCTTCAGGATTCGGATATTCCTCATCCCCTGGTTGGAAGTCTCTCCTAGATAATCCATCTGGCACGTGTCGTTCTCCAGGTATGTGTACCAAGGTAAAATGGAACATTAGTATAGACTCAATCCAACGATTTATTGCCGCGTTAGGGACCTCATCTGGGTTCCTAAGCATTCCTGCAATATATTTCGCATCGGTTTCTACTACTAATTTTCTTACACCAAATAACCAATGTCGACATGCATGTAGCGCTCTATATAGACCATATAATTCTCGTTTGGGTTGCGAGAAATGAGCTTCATGCTCATTCAATACTATAGAACCAAAGCGAGCATACCGTCTCCTCTTAGGATTTTCTGGATCGACTTGACAGATATGAAATCCTATAGCGCGGTACGAAGTGTCCACTCCAAGAATTACATCTGAGTCCAATTCATAATCTATGGGCATTAAAGACGGACTATCTATTAGCGCGTCTTTTAATTTCTGCATTGATTCTTCTTGTTCTTCTCCAAATTCGAAGGGAACTTTCAGTCGTG